CACAAAAGGAGAGTGTATGTGGGGGGGGGGGGGGGGGGGGTCCCACTCATAACTTGAGCAGATTAGCCTTTTACTCCAGGCTGTCGTGTATTTTTAATTCAGAAGGCGAGTTAAAAATTCAGCACGGCCGGGCCAGCGGGGCACGAGCCGTACCTGCGGATGGGCAGAATGAAAGTCTTTAGGGAGCCTGGAGAGCACTAATCTGCGGGTGCACTGAGAGGGAGTGCCGGCCTTGATTAACTGCTCCGGCGCGAGCGTGCCAGCTTCCACGCAAGCGGGCCGAGGGAAGGGAAAGTACTGGCACGGAACCGGCTTGCAAAAAGCACTCACCCATCTGCGCTAAATAAAAGCACTTTTCGGGGCATCTTAAAAGAGAAAAGAAAAAGAAAAAAAAAAAAAAGAGTAAGCAAAAAATCTGCTTTTATTTACTGTGAACAGACGTCAGACAATTTAGACTGAGGTCAGAAACACGAGCAGGAAATGCTGACTTTAAATGCCACGCCTGTTAACAGGAGCCTTAAATGCCACGCCTGTTAACAGGAGCCTTAAATGCCACGCCTGCTTTACTCACCCTACCGGTTGCAGCCGGTGACAGAACACCACCATTCCCTGGAACCAAATCTAAGCTTGACATGTCCTGGTGCGCCAGTCCCACAGCTGCCCCCCCTGAACGGCCACGCTGAGGGTAAAAGGTGGAGGACACTTCATGCCGCCAGGCTAGAAGAAACTCACTTCCAGAAGTATGCAGCCAATAATAAAAGGACAGCCTTTGCCTGGCACGTTCAGCAATTAGCACCCAAATACAGTATTATATGCACATACATACATGAGACCACATACGCATCTCCGCATTTTTATGTGTGATTCTACAGTAAAAAGAACCCAGAAAGTGAGAGTTACAGCACTAAAAAAAGCTGCACCAGCACACGCAGCTAGCAGTGCCATCTTGACGACAGACAGCCCCCCCCCCCCCCCCCATGCTGTCGGGCCACGCGCGGCTGGAGCTCTGCCAACAGACACAACGCGCTGACGCCCCTATCTTGTCATCTCCCTCTTTGAAGATCCTTTTTAGTGTGATCAGTAGCATCAAAGCAGCAGCCAGATCGAGCTGCTTAGGAGTTTAACCCTTGGGGAGGAACGGAAATAATGAAAGATAAAATCGCTGCAGATGGGGCTGTGATACGGGCGATGACTTTATGCTTTTAATGTTTTTTTCCTCCCTTTCTTTCTTCCCGACATGATTAAAATGCGACTTCTAAATACCGATGAGTACAACCGCTAACAACCTCTGAAAGTAAAAAGAGGAGCATGGAAATCCACTGCTCCAGTTCGGGGAATCACATTAAAAAACAGCGAGAGAACAGGCAGATTTAGGACGCGGGATGTATAGGAAACATACGGAGAGCAGAAGCAGATGAGAGACCAGGGGCTGCGATACAAGGGGAGTGTTACCAACGCAGTGAGTAACACGTCAGACAGGGAGAGGTGTTTACACAGGATTCAGAAAGGCCTCGTCAACCGCTATTTGGGGGGGGAGACACATATCAAATGCTTATTTAAATGCTAAGAGAGCCTTTTCATCCAGAGCAGGCTGGGAAGATCTTAATCTTTCACAAATAAAAGATTACCAGGAAGAGGTTATACATGGAGAGCCACTGCCGCTGCTGTAAATCAGCATGTAAAACAACTCCCCCCAGACAAAAGCGGGCACCATTCAGGACACGAAGCTGGCACGCTGGGCAGCGCCAAGCCAGCAGATGTGCTGGAGAGAAAGACGAGGCTTAAAATAAATAAATAAATAAAAATAAGGGAGTGGGAGCGAAGGGCCAGAGGCGAGCGACACGTGCAGCGCTGCCTCACAGCATCGCGCTACTCTCTCATGTAGCCTCTGGTCAAGCTAAACTGCTTCTGATCAACAGTCAAAGTATCCTTGGCATTGGTCGCAGGGCTGCCTTGGAATGCGGCCTTTTTTCTTGTGATCTGAGGCATTCTGAAAGCCCCACGTGTGAGAAGAGAGGAGCCGCATATGGATCCTTAAACGCCGCAGGTCTTACGCGGGTCATGCTTTTCTGACCGCCTACAGCCTCCTCTGCCTGGGGTCAGCACTCCAGCACACATGTGGCCGAGGCGTGGCGCCGTGGGCCGTGCCACAACGGGCGGCAATCAGGATGCGGCCACCATAGCGCCACCCAGCGAAGGAAGTGGGCCGAGGAGATGCTGGTTACCTGCCGACAGTAAAGAGATGATCACATCTGTGCGTCTATCCTACAAATACACAAACACGTCGGCCAGAGCCAGACATTTTGAGATGATCTAAGGAAAAGACATAAAAGTAAATGCCACCCACAGCTGGAGGAACACTTTCACCAACTGAGCTGAATTTTTAATCTCAGAATTTGCTTTTGCTCCATTTATGGGAAGTCAAGACAAAAGAAGAATAGGTTTAACCAGGCAGCACTACTGATCCCGTTACCCATCGACAGAACCAAAACACCAATGTAAAAGCTAAGACCTAACCCGTGGACAACCTATTTACTACAGACCAGTCACACTAGGTTGAAAGTCAACACCTGCCTGGAAATGAGAAGTAATGGCCCTTTCTGCAGGCAACCCCACCCGCGTTTGATCCTGCCCTAAACACCCACCAGGCCCCCGCTACCCCACCAGCCTGTCTCCTAACGCTGACTACATCTTCTCTCTTCACCCGATGGAACAGTGTCTGCACTCTGTTTCGGTGACCGTGATATTAAAAAGTCCGCCTGATTATTTATGATTCTGCCATCCCTCTGCAACACTTCATCACGGCTTGTTTCTCTAACCCTTATCTCAAGCAGTGCTGTTTAAGGAGCCCGGCGATAACTCTGGGGTTGGCAGAAACAGGGGGGTGGGACCACATTTACGCCGGCGCTGGCGGGTCACGCCAACTTCGGGTCAAACAAAGGAACACCGACTGCTGCAGTGATAGGCGGAAGGCAGCCGGTAAGCAGGGAGCCAGTCAAGAACGTTCCACAAGGTTCCCTGCAAAACCTGGGGCAACACAGACCACATCGATGGACAGCCGCAGCATCAGGAGCCCATCAACGGCTCACGGCACCTGCCGCGCGTAGCCGTCATGTGACCCCGTGGCCTCCTGACCCCATAAACCCAGTATCACTCAGGGTGGCGCTTTTGATCTGAGGGACCATGAGAGACTCCAATTAATGAGCTGGGAACCGCAGTTTCCGCCCGGCAGCGACGAAGTAGGGCAGAGAACGCTGGGGCATGCGAGGTTGATGTGCGTTAGAAGCCAGATGGCCGGTCTCACAAGAAGGTAGGAGGGACGGCTGGGTAACAGACTTCACACCAGCAGATTCCTGGCGGACAGACGACATTAAAATACACGGCCGGCAACCTAAGTGCAGGCAGGCCGGCGACGGTATCTGGGGAGCGGAAGAGACTTCAAACAGGACACGGATCAAGCAGAGTGCTGCTGGGGGCGAGAACCGCCAGGGACGTCTGCATGGAAAGGGGATTAGGGAAAGATGAGGTGAAACTGAAAAGGGGGTGTCGACATTTCAAACTGCAGATAATTACTGCCTTGGAAATGACGGGGGGGGGGGGGTTCACAGGTAGGAGTTCGTTTTTTTGGTTACTCCCACGAGAAAAAAGGGAGAAAAAGGAAAAAAAAAGAAGAAAAATACATTGAGAATGAAGCCTGACATTTTCACAAAACCAGGTTTGTACTACACTGGTGGGAATCCACTACTATAGACACGCAGACGTAAATAAAGCAAAATGGGTGTGAGAATCACGTGATGCAGGAGCTTAACATGAGGACACTGAGTGGGAGAGCATGGGACACATAGTGTGAGAATGTCTTTCACGCCAGAACAACAGACACCAGCTTCACTGAGGACAGGCGTTACGTTTCGAAGGAGTGCTATGGGACCCCTGCATGCACGAATGCATGGACACGTGCCAAGGAAGAGGGTGGGGGAATGAGCCACAAGCAGCAGACATGCACCTCACCCACTGCTGGAAGAGAGCACAGATCAGCACATCCTGGACGGCTCTCAGAAAGCCACACCGAAACCAGAGGGGCCTCCAGCACGACCGGGCCTCACACAAGGCTCCCACAGCCTGGCCGTATGGGAGCCCCACGCAGGAAAGACAAGGAATAGCAGAGAGAAAGAATAGCAAAGAGCAGGTCCATAGAAGAGCCTCATTCATGCGCTCCAGTGTAAATCCGTTAGCAGACGCTGTCCTGTATGGCAGCAGCACCATCAGTCTTTACATCTCCAGCACAGGCTGTGCTAATGAAGTCCAGCTGTGTCAAACCTTGACTGAACTGAGTTGTCAAACAGTTCACAAAAGCTCTTACCTTTAGAAGCTGAGGGTCCAGTCGGAGCAGCCGGCGGCAGGGGGAGAAAGAAAAACAAAAAATGTAACATTGATTCAAATCAGTGACTTTCCACACACTGGACTCCAGCCCCCCCCCGAAGGTGACACTGACACGGCCAGGCGTGACATCGAGCTCGGACACTCACACTTGGTCTGAGCGGAGAAGGCCAGAGTGAGCTTGGCGAAAAGCTCGTTATTCTCAAAGCGCTCCTCATTCGCTTTGGTCCAAAAGCTGCTCTCAGACAGGTCCTCGGGTCCAAGCTGGTGGAACAAAGACACCGTGAGCGTGTCATGCGCTCCACCTCATCATCAGAACCTGCGGCATGTTACCTCGCGCCGACACACACGGAACCAGAGCCAGAACCCGTTTCGCGTCCCAGGGAACTGTGACCCTGCACAGGGATGGCAGTGAAGCCCGTTAGCGCTCCCGTCCACACCCTCAGTACGACCAGGGCTCATTTCCCCCCCCCCCCCCCCCC